AGTTCCGCTATACCGGGCTCATGTGCTCATCATTTGTAACCTTTATAGCTGGCTTCTGACAAGCAACGTCAATGGGGGAAACCAGGTCCATTTAACAACTGCATGATTCATTTAACAACTGCAGTGATTCACATAACCGTAGCAAAAAAGGTCATAAAATGAGGCACAACTCATTTAATAACTTCCTTGCTTTGCAACAGAAATTTTGGGGTCAATTTTGGTTGTAAGTGAATGTTTACCTCTATATCTAATCCCCCATTTGGGGATAAGCTTTAAAAAACCAACTGGCTGAATACAATATTACCATGATCCAGTTATCTGATCCAGGCCATTCAAACTTAATTGCTTTGAAATACATCACTCAGATAGTTCTCTTGGAAATAACAGATAAATAGGGATTTAGAATGTTCCCTGGACAATGAGATCAAAAGTGAATCCACAGCATGTGTTCCCTTCTTGTGGGGTGACATTGGCATCTTTCGACTCAGCTCTGAAGCCCAACTGAGATTGTGCTAGGTCCTCAAGAAGATCATTGGGTGATCACATTTTTTTTGGATTGATTAGCCTATAGGCTACAGGTTCAAACACACATTACCAATAACATTCTAAACCAGCGGTCGCCAACGGGTGGGTCGCAGCCCACTGGTGGGCCTTGAGAAAATTTTGGTGGGCCGCAGAGAAATCTCACCCCCCGAGCACCCCCACAAAGCAATCAATCCAGGCTGTGCAGAAACACAAGGCTGCTCAGCCCACTAGGCCCCCGGGAACCCTCCCTGCCTACTTACTCCTTACCTGGAAAATTTGTCTGCTAAGTTGCTATTTTTCCTTTTTCCAACCATCATCTGTTCTGCTGTGCCAGGAGATTTAGATTAGCTAGGAAGCAGGAAATGGTTGGATTTCTTGCTTTCTAGCTAAGCACAGCCAAATCTCCCTTATGACTGAAGGTTTGCTTGCAAGCAAATTCAGTGCAGACTCACCACAAGCAAATTTGAGAGACTGAGCTAGCCGATGGCAGATAGATAGATCACTGAATGATTCTGTGAGCAACTCAATTTGCCTGCTTTGCCTGATTTTGAATAAAAGTTGCTTTTTTTATAAAAAAATTCAATATTTACATACATGGTGTTTTGTGAGTTAATTTTGTGAGTTTGCTTGCTAGCAAATTTAATGTGACAGATTGAGCTAGCCAATGGCAGATAGATTGATTTCTGAATGAATCTGTGATTCTGTGAGCAACTCAATCTGCCTGCTCTGCCTGATTTTGGGTAAAAATTGCTCTTTTTTATAAAAAAAAAACCCAATATTTATATAAATATTTATAATACAAGCCATGCCCAGCCAGTCACATGACCACCAAGCCACACCCACAAATTAGGCCATGCCGACAGAACCAGTTAGTGGTCCCTGGGATCTAAAATTATGAGTTTAGTGGTCCCTGAGGTCCAAAAGGTTGGCAACCCCTGTTCTAAACAAACAATTTAAAATGAGAGTAGGATAAAATACAATAGTTATAGAATTAAATACAATAATTTAATACATAAATATGTAAAATAGAATAAAATGACATATTATATTTCTGTATCACCCTTGCAATCTACCCCAATCAGGTCCACATATGCCAATCTCAGTCACACCATTTTAGGATTATGCAAGATTTGACACATACAAATGTCCCAAGCAGGTGTCTTGATTGTCCTTGATCTTCTTCCAAAGTACCATCACTCATGCTATCAGTACAAGATATCTCTTGAAAGGCTGATCCGGAGCTGGGCTGGGGGAAAAGGTAAATTACGAACTTCCAAATGATGTTTCAATAGAAACCAATCGGCTAAAGATTCAGAGGAAGGAGGATGCTTCCATCTTTACCTGCCCGTCTGCAGCTCCTTAAGGCAGCCTGAGATTTGTATATGTGTTCATTTATTTGCTTGTTCAGATAGTCCCCAATTTACAACAATCCATTTAGTGACCATTAGAAGTTACAATGGCACTGAAAAAAATGACTTGTGACCATTCTTTACAGTTACAACCTTTGCAGCACTCCCATGACAACTGTTTCATACTTATGACCATTGCAGTGTCCTGAGGTCAAATGGAGCAAAACTCACTTAATAAATTTCTCAGTTAGCAACATAAATTGTGGTCATGTCAACAACTACCGGTATCTTCTATATATATAAAAGTGAAATACTACTCATGCATCATCACAAAATCTCCATAACTGTAAAGCCTACAAACTTGAAATTTGGTACATATGTTCCTCTTGGCTTCTAGATGCTCACTAAGAAAGGATTTCTTGAAATGACCACCAGAGCATTAGTGTTTCATATATTATTATTATTATTATTATTATTAACATGACCTGATGCTAAGGAGTTCTATTCCCCCTCCCAACCTGAAAAGAAATCTGTTCCAAATGTAAAACACAAGCAGAGGAGAGGAGTTTCAGTTTCAGTTCTATTTTCACAGCAGCAACCAGCTTTAGTACAGAACAGTTAAGCTAAGCCACGTTCAGGCTCCTTGCTGTCTCCTTCTTACTCACACAGCAAATACTGTTTCAGTTTCCAAACAGCCCTCAACTCTCTCACACACTGACAGGATGCTAGCCAGATGAATACCGATGGACCCTGGAAGGCAGAGGTATAATTTTCCCCGCTTATTTTCCTCCCCAAAAACTAAGCCCAACCACATAGTTTCGTAGCTAAGCATGGGTATCAAGCTAGTTTATGATATAGTCCAACTTTGGAGGGTGAACGGTTGCCCAAGGGAAAGAAGTGTGTGATACAAAGACTTGCAGATGGGTGTGCTCCTTCTGTGCCTCCATGCATATTTCGACCCTCAAATCTGAAGTGGGCCCAGTAGCATGGCTAAATTCTTCATGTTTTAATGCAAGTAAATTAAATTTAAATTAAAGAGTTCATTTCTTAGAACTGTTTCCCTGGGGTTAGTCTGTTTGCTCTTCTATATAGCATAACATTTGCAGCTCTCATTGAGTGTCCATACTGATTTTCAACCGCGGGAATTTGAAAATACATAGACTTCAACTCCCAGAATTCTCCAACTTGGGGAATTCTGGGAGTTGAAGTCTACATGTCTTCAAGTTGCCTAGGTTGAGAAATATGGGTCTATACAGTAAGAGAAATATGAGGTGACCATAATGGCTAGGCTCACACTCCATCATTGAACAGATTCACGGATGACACCAGGCATAAGCAAGTAGATGATTTATTTATTTTGGCTTTATCTAGTTTGCTATGTGAAACCCAGTTTAATGCAATTTGGCATGACTAAGGCATTGGCATGACCGGTGAACCACATAAAAACATATTGTAGCATTTCAAAGGCATTTGAATTTATTGGGGCATAACATTCTACATTCCTGCATCTAATGAAATGGACTGCAATCTAGGAAAACCTCCTGCCATTAAAATATGCTGTTTTTAAAACCTTGAATGGCTTTTTGGGGTCCCCTTTCCCTTCACAGTAAAGAGTTATTGATTAGAATTTGCAATTTTATCTTGTTTTCATACAGTGATTCATTGGTCCCACATCCCTTTTGCAATGTGGCTGAAAGGCAGGATGTTAGTACAATATAAAAAGAAAATTTTATTATCTTCTGAGTTCAGTTAAGGTGACAGCATAGACACATTTAGATAAAGTTCTGAATAAGAATTTATTTTTTTATGACTTCCCGGTATCTCATGACTTCTTGGTGTTTTCCCATCCAAGTTTAAACCACCCAGCTTATCTTTTTTTCCCTGCAGTTTCCGTTTCTAATTTTAGCATTGGAAAAACAGATAAAAGAATACTACCACAAGAGACAAAAATATATTACCACCTTTCTTTTTTGATTCTCCCCAACCCAGAACAATTCAATTTACCTAAAACACTAACTTTTTCTCCCTAAGAAAATGATGAAATACATTCTTCTTCTTCCTCCTCCTCTTCTTCTTCCTCTTCTTCCTCCTCTTCCTCTTCTTCTTCTTCTTCTTCCTCTTCTGCCTCTTCCTCTTCTTCTTCCTCCTCTTCCTCTTCCTCCTCCTCTCCTTCTTCTTCTTCTTCCTCCTCCTCCTCCTCCTCCTCCTCCTCCTCCTCCTCCTCCTCCTCCTCTTCTTCTTCTTCTTCTTCTTCTTCTTCTTCTTCTTCTTCTTCTTC